AACATAGCCACAGAATTTGCCGGACCTATCACTGATAATCTCGATACAATTTTGTCCTAGAACTAGCTTTCGACAGGGCTTTTCGTAGCTCAAATAAGAGGAAATAACTCTACTGTACGCCTTTTGAGGCCAGCAAGACTACATCCACGGTGTTTTCATTGAATCACGAATTGTTCGATTTAATTTAAACGTTTCCTGGCCATTTTTTTAACACATGATTTCGACTGCCTATTATGCGGTCTTCAGTGGGTTAAATGTTGAAAGAGGCGCTCAAAATTCTAAACTGTGGTGTGATAAAAAATTTACAATAGAATAAAATTATGGAAATAAACAGAAAAAAATAACTTATTCCATGTCAGAATTTAGCACCTTACACATTGATCCCCCCCCCAAAAAAAACATTTAGTGAGGCTTTTTGAAAGCATAATGCCTATGAAAACCTTTAACACATTTACATAACTAATCGTTGATCCGTTTAATTTGGTGAAAGTGGTGCAGTGGCAGATGCCGATTGCATCCCTTTGTTGGTTGGGATAATTACTTATCTTTTAGTCGAAAACATTTTGTGAAATTTAATAAAGCTAAGCGATCACAGACCGAGAATGATGTTTAGTCTTCATCAGAATAAGCTAGCATCAGGTAGGTACCATGGAGCAAAAATCGGCTTTAACTCTCTGGCCGTGCAACAAACTAAGAACTGCTGTAAACACCAAAGAAATTAAGAGATTGACATTCGAGATATGTAATTGCTATTTGTGCAATAGCTATAAAATCTTTGTCCCTTCCAAACTTGATCCGATGTTTTAGCATCTTATATAGTAAGTTGAGATAAAGTAAATAATAGGACAATTTCGATATATTAAAATTCTTACTTGGTTCCGAGCCTTACGAGAATAAAACAAAATAAATTGATTATTCACCCTCATCCTCGATGTGATTTCTTTTGTTTTATTCCCCTATGCAATAGGTTCACTGAGAACATCTGGCACCCCACGCCGTGTGCTGATATCAACATTCATTCCGAAAAAAAAAGTCTTTATTCTTTCTTGACTGTGTGTAAACGCAGTGGTAAGTGAAGATGTAAGCTCTTAAAAAAACAGACGCAACATCCTTCCTTCCGCACGTCAATTTAACAAATAGATTCCATGTTGCAGTGCGTCTGTTCAGTAATAGATCACAGATGACGTCAAAATGTGGTAAGAACATCAGTGACACACGAGGCGATAGCCGAGTGTCTCATCATCGTTCTTCTTCCTGCTTCTCGTACCTGTTCAATGTCTCGACAACACTTTTTGTACCTTATCTTCCGCCCAGTCACGTACAATATTATCTTAATTCTCAAAACTTTCCGCCATTTTAAAACACGAAGGGAAAAACTTTGTAATGATGACTTAAATCGCGCGTCTGTCCTCGAATAGATCATAGGCGAGAACCAGTTAAAAAGGGAAAATAACTTGGGAAATAACATGGCTTTTTTCGGGAATATTGTTTATTTGCGCCCAATTTTGCATATCACCCAGGTGATATGCTTCTGGTTAAAATCCGTCGGATGATGAAGCAAGAACCAATCAGCTGTAGGGCTGATAATGCATTAGCAGCCCGCTGTCAGTCATTTGCGGCCCGCTGAGCATGCAATTTCAAGAGGCCGAGTTTCTATTTGGCCGCCGCATATTGATAGTAATGATCATTTAAAGTATTAATTGTCAAACAACTTTTGACCTATTTGACCAAACGCTCAATAACAATTTGCGTGAAGAGAGTCGTGCGAAGATGGGAGGCAAAGAGAATTTTGATGATTTAGGCAACGAAGACCGTGATTCTCAACCTGAAACTATTACTATCGTAAACAGCGTCTTGAATGCTCCATTTATACTGATATCCATTATTAGTAACACTTTGATACTAGCCGCTATATTGAGAACGCCTTCCCTTCGTTCACCATCAACAATTTTGCTGTGCAGCTTGGCTGTGTCAGATATTTTCGTTGGACTTGTCGTGCAACCGCTTAACATTGCTTATCGGCTTACAGAAAAGGGGTCCCTAGAGCTGCCAGGAAAGACAGTTACGTTTCTCGCATTGGGAGTTTCACTTTCGACAATGACTGCCATTAGCTTGGATCGATTCTTAGCTCTTCATTTTCACATGAGATATCCTAATATAATGACGACACAACGCGCGTTATATATATCGGCAGCTCTTTGGTTCTTTATCTTCCTTTCATCGTGGCTATCCTTTTGGAATAAGAATGCTTATTCCTTGTTAATAGCTTGTAATATCGCTATTTGTCTTTTTCTCTCCACTTTTTGTTACATCAGAATCTACAGGATTGTTAGACACCACCAGTTACAAATTCACAATCAACAACAGGCTTTGGAAATAAACTCCGAAGATAATCAGAACATGCTCCGATCAACAAAAAGTGCCAAAAGCACTTTTATATATTACGTTCTGATGCTTCTGTGTTATACCCCGTTGTTTATTGGATTTTCAGTTTCACTTGTTTCTCCTGATCACTTTTCAAAAGCGTGGACCTTCGTTGAAACAGTAGCATTTATGAACTCGTCCATCAATCCATTTTTGTATTGCTGGCGTCTGCGCGAACTTCGAACGGCAGTTGTAAAGACAGCAAGGCAGATGTTTTGCACACAAATGGAAGAAAGCTAGCTTTGAAAATTTAAAACATTCTCTGGCTGACTTTTTTTTATTAAAACACCAGCTTTAGACTGCGTAAACTGTGGTCTTAAACGGGTGTCAGTATTGAAAGAAGCGCTTAAACGTCTAAAATCCAGTGTGATAAAAAGAATATAATAGAACATAATCATGGAATTTCGCTAGCAAGAAAAAAACACTAGCTTATTCCATGTCAGTCTTGATCTAACGCTTTTTACATTGATCCTACTTAAATAAGCTTAAAAACACAGTTAATTTATTAAGACCTTTTAAAAGCAGAAGGGCTATGGAAATCAACTTTTAACATATTTACATAACTAATCGTTGATCCATTTGATTAGATGAAAGTCTTGTGCAATTGCATATGGCATCCCTTTGTTGGTTTGGTTAATACTTTATCTCTCCGTGAAATCCAATAAAGCTCTCACCAGGCAGAAATTAATGCTGAGTCCCATCAAAAGTGAACCGTATTTCGCTCCGTAGTGTTCACGTTTGAGTTGTTGCCTTGCGCGGATCACGAGAAACTCGGTAATTACTTAAGAGGATAATTTCTATGCTTTGATCTTGTGTTTATGTCGTTGTGTTAATGTAGCAGCTGTTACCGAGCCATTCATGTGAGACCTTACGAGAGCTGCAGCATGACTCCCTGTAACAGCACTGTAAGGCTATACAACCCGGCTTGAGTTCACACACCTCTCCCCATGCATGGACCATGTTCTTTTGACATAAATTTAGATCTTTGTTTAGATATCTACGCGTTCGTCTAACTTTGACATCCATGAATTGTTCTCCACTCGGTCCAATTATTTTATGACCACTTGGGCGGACTCTATAGAGGTTTTCTCTTAATCCTATCCCTTCTGCTTCTGTTAAAGGAAATTATAATTAAATCGCTTTTCTTATTCACAAAACTACTAAAAAATTGAAGGAAGCTTCAAAACGACTGCTGTCAATAAAGAGGAGAAACATCAACTTAAGCTGAAAGCTGGAATAGACAAAAATGGTAAATTTGAGGAAGACTAACACGGATAACGAAAGAAAATCGTGAAATATCCCATTAATCTTTGTTTTCAGGATACGCCATTCTTTGGGTGGTACGTTCCTTGAATACCTGTTATTGCAGTTATTAGTGGTTCGACATACACACGAGGCGAAAACGTTAATTCATATGGGTAATCAAATGGCGACGAGTGATCGTGAGATTAGGAAATATTTTCACGCGCGTTTTGTCAAAATTCTAATAATTTCCCAAGCCTCTAGGCGAGAAAATTTGTTTAGAATTTGAGCAAAACGCAAATGCAAATATTTCTTAATCTTATGAGAATACCATGTGATTACCTTTCAATATCACGAGTGACAAATTACGCTTACAATACTGGGCTTTTTACATGTTTATTGTATCGATAAATTTCGCGCCAAACGTTACTAAGGCAATTTTGTAATTTCACATGTGAAATTTTAAATTAGCGCTGAAATTTGGCGCCAAATTTAAGAAGTAATTATTCACCCATGATAGTATGCCTTTTATTGACCCTTTCGTCTCGTTTTCATCCATTTTAAAACAACCAAAAACTTATATATTTGATGGCAGACTCAACTGCAATAACAACTTTGTAAACAACTGTCAACACGCACATCACAGTTATGTCAACATTCATACATTCATTTTCAATAGCCAACAATGGTCATTTCATTTGAATATAAAATTTAAATTTCTCAAGCAGTTCCATTTTCAACTGAGATTGCATCTGTGGAGCAAATGAACCACACAACCAGTTTCGGACCACACAAGTTTAAATGTACTTAAGTGACGGTTACAAAGATGAAAAACGAATCAGAAACGGATTATGCAGGAAATAGGAACATTTTTAAATATGAAACAACTATTATTGTAAACTGTATTCTGAATGCCCTTTTCATGCTATCAACCGTTCTTGGAAACAGCCTTGTGTTAGCTGCCATTTTAAGGACGCCTTCGCTTCGTTCATCGTCCATAACTTTCCTCTGCAGTTTGGCTGTATCAGACCTTTTTGTTGGACTTGTTGTACAACCGGTATACATTGCTTATCAACTAACGGAAAGTGCCACCGTGTTCCAGATACTCTCCATTGTGGCCGGTTCTGGATGTGGTTTTTCCCTACTTTTAATGACCACCATAACTGTAGACCGGTTCTTGGCCCTCCATTATCACATGCAATACCCGAATTTAATGACTTCACATCGCGCGTTATATACATCAGTGACTCTTTGGATCGTCAGCCTCCTGTTATCACTATGTTCGTTTTGGAAAATGGAAGCTTATCACTTCGCTGCAGCTGTCAGTATTGCCATTTGCCTGCTTCTTTCTTCTGCCTATTACGTGCGAATCTATCGGATTGCTAAAAAGCATCAGTTACAAATTCACGTTCAGCAGATAGCTGTGGAAAACCATGCTGGAAATATTAATCAAACTGTACTGCGATCGACCAAGAGTGCCAAAAACACTTTTATATATTACATCGCAATGGTTTTGTGTTACACCCCATTGTTTACTTCCATGTCAGCGTTAGCCATTTCTCCAGATCGATGGACAATCGCTTGGACGTTAGCTGATACTGCAGCATTTATGAACTCCTCAATCAATCCATTTTTGTATTGCTGGCGGCTTCGCGAGATTCGAACGGCAGCTGTAAAGACAATAAGGCAGATGTTATGTAGACAAAGGACAACTCACTAACTCTGCGTTAATAGAGCTTCAAAGCTCTAAATACTTCGATCTCCCTTGGGAAAAACAAATTATAATTAGATTTGTACAAGTCTTTGGTGTTTTTTATTTCGATCTTTTAAAACCTGAGTTAACTAGATGACAGATGAATCTCGTGTTAACTGTCAAATGACTTCTTCCCGTTGCTCCGATTGCAAACTGTTATAAAAGTCTATCAAGATAAAGGAAATTAATTCGAAAACCATAAGACATGTAAATGATTGCTATTTTATTATAACTGACAGTTTGCTAAGAGTTGATTCCAATGAATATATATGAACACCAGATTAAAAGTTATGAGTTTAACTACACGTAAATCATATCTTAGCAACAGATCAATTTTTGTTTGGGCTAGCAATACCAAGAAGTATACATCTCATATTAAAGGAGATGACAAATTTTGAGCTTGGCGTTCAAAAAAATCCTTCTCAGTGTTTCATCGCGGTTTCCCGTTTACTAGAAAGTTGCAGCTTACACTTGTCTATTTTATTCAACCTAAGTTTAAGTTTTGTCACAAAGCTTCGCAGTTCCTTGAACACTCGCAAGCAAGAACGAATGTAAAGAGCCTGCTTTCAATTGCCAGATCTTTAGATTATTGTGAGTTGAATAATCAGTTTTAAAGATTGGAAATATATAGCGCTCGAAGGCTTGCTAGGTCAGTGTTCAATGAGACGGTCTCGCAACCATTTATTTGGCTAAGGAAAAAACCCTTTTTTTATGCTTGCTTCTCTACTGCTGACTCTTTTGTTTTGTGTGATGCATTTCGTTTCCAAGTATAAAATTTTGAAGGAATAGTAAATCCTTTGAGTTCAAAACGTTGCTTAGTATTGTACGTTGTCGGTGTCTCTTGAAGACGTATTTCTTGCCTGTTCGCAAATACTGGGGTAGTCGAGAAACTAACAATAATCTTGTGGCGAGGTCTTAGGCGAAGATGGAAATCGACGTAGGTGAAAATGTTGGAATGAAGAAAGTCTGCAACTTGCCATAAAAATTAGACAGAGTACTATTTTAGACATATGTATAATAGATGAAACATTGTGGTTTTTGTAAACTTTGGTTAAATCTAGTTTCATACGTTTCTTGATTTTCATTAGTGATGTAGATTTTTGTGCTAGCTTAATACGAGACGAACCGCGCTGCACGTCGTAACTTGCATTATTGATACAACCAATGTTTTCTATAGGTAACATATTACCAGTTCTAGAAAAGTTTGCTCATTACTTTCAAAGCAGGAAAACATATGTCGGTCGCTCCTATCATTTTAAGTATCAAAGCTACTTCCTTTTCCATTTTAAGGCAGTAGATCTCTTAAGCTCTCCAACATCTGTCAAGTGGCACCAAGCTACTGTGTCAATACAAAATTCGCCTAAAGAAGTTGTTTTCGTTCCAGCAGGTATATAAATGCACTTCAGATATATCTTCGGGGTCTATTTAACAATTAGACCCGTAGCCCGCAAGGGCTACGGGTTAATAGCCCATGAGGCGAAGCCGAATGGNCACCCAACTAGTCGGACAGAAAAGGTAGTAATAAAGTTAGCAAATCCAAATTGAAGAAATATTTATTTGGGAATAAACCGAAAGAAAGCGTCATGCTCGATTGCACCAATTTCGCTACTCGAGGACTATTGCTAATAGTCCTCTAGTAGCGTAGCCAATTAAAATGCAGGATTTGCATTAGTCCACTAGTTGGGTGATACTAAAAAAGCATAAATAGCGAGGCCACTCTGTACCATAACGCAAACATTATTGTATTGTACAGAAGAGCCTTTTCATTCGAATACAAAATTAACAGACACCGCGCTGCAATTTCAAAACGCTGTAGCTTGTGAACATGACAAACGAATCAGAAACAGGTCGTACTTCTCGTCCTGAAACTATCGCCATCATAAACTGTGCGCTGAATGCACCATTGATGCTCATAGCCATTATCGCCAACACGCTGGTCTTGTCTGCCATACTGAGAACTCCTTCTCTTCGTTCACCGCCCATTCTTTACTTGAAAACCAGTTCCTGTAAATACCGAGAATGAGATGACAGTCGCGAAATTTTCGATTTCTTCATATTTTG